ATGGTCGCTCCATGAAGATCGGTTTCGTTGACATATTTTCTTCTCGAAGACTATTTCACCTCAACATTCTGAAACATAAACTATTTGGTATCTTGCGGCCAGCACCAACAATACAAGCAAAACCATAAAGCACATTCAATACAAAAACACACCGTAAAACAGTGTGTCTTTGGAACGGACACAGAGGAAATCCCCATTGCGTTGCTTCATGATTTGTCTACTTTCGCTTCTTTTCGTCTTCATCGACATCGTCGTTTTCTTGCCTTTTTTTGTCTTCTCTTCACTTTCAGTCGTTCATTTGAATTTTATCTGCTGCTCTCTCGTATTTCTTGAGCTCAATTCGATTTGGCGAACTGGAACTGTGAAGCAACCACTCCAGGCTATGTCGTCGTCGTCACCGTTGCCATTTTCATAATAATAATCATCATCATGACAGTGTGGTAAAATGATTATACAATGTTTTGTAGTAAGATAGTAGGCATCCGAGGAAAATAAAATTTATAAACGGATGGAATCATTCTTTCTTTTTTTTACTTTGTTCACGTAAAAACATGAAAACAGTTGTTCAACACGAATAAAATAGGCGAAACAGCAAAAATGGCGAGCAAAAGAAGAAGAAAAAATGTGCGGAATAAATAAAGTGGAATAAAATAAAAACCAACACCGAAAATTGTAAATCATTCAAATGGATCTGTTCGTTCCGTAAAGAGCTTCTTTATTTCTTTGTCGTTTTGTTTTTGCTGCCTTGTTGCAAAATTACCTCTATCAAACATAATGGTTGGTGTTGCTATTTTAACTAGACATTCCAAACGTAAAATTCGAAAGGAGAGAATGCGAGTGGCAAAGAAGAACAGAGATAAATCGAAAGAGACGGAAAACTGTGTGTATGTGTGGTTAACCGGTGTAATTTCTTTGCCATTTACGCAGATGTAAATATTGTGCGGCCAATGTTGAGCATTTCGTTTTGCAGCCGTTGTCATGAACTTTTGTTAACGTATAGTCTTTTTTTTCAGCAACTTCTAACCACTTTCTCTCCTTTTCTCATTCTCGAAAATGGTTTATCGAATCAAATGTTCGTTATGCCGAATGGATTTAAATCAAGAGTTAAGCTTGACAGTTTGAAGAAAAAGAAGAAAAAAATCGAAAGAAACTAGAAGCTTTTGCTAGAAGAAAAAAAGAGCGCGTGTGTGGGGAAAAATGCGAAGTGAAACAAGACGACGGGAAAAAATATCACCGACAACGAACTTTGAACGATGAGAATACAAATCGAGAAAAAGGCCACCCCATATCGAATACAATAACAAACTAAAAAAAACCGGAAAAATACAAAACAAACTGAAATAAATGCGAAATGCCTTTTGTGATGATTTTGCCAAAGAGTAGCTGTATGCAAAGCATTTTTTGTGCGTGTGATTCTGTGTATCACATAAGTACGACGAAGTTTCGATCCCTCGGTATGGCGAACACAGTTCCAACAACAATATACGGCGCGACACAAAAATTATTTATAAAAGGGTCAGGGAAAAGGCTCTGGATAACTAAGTTTATGGCACTTGTGTATGTCACTTTAGACACTTGGGAAAAAAAACGCAAGCAGTCATGTGTGTTCTAACATCGTTTACTAAACAAATCCATAGCGTACGCGTGTATATTTGCCACTGTTCATGCATACATTCTTACTGTATGAAAGGTTGCCACCATCGTCGTAGTCGTCGTATTCTAACCAACTAAAGCCATAACAATAATAATAATCGAGCAAAACTTAAATGTGTACCCGATAAATAGTAACAACATCATCAAGCGTACAGAAAATCGCACATGAAATGTCAGACAACTAAAAGTAGAAAGCAAGACAAGCAATCCGAAAATCATATTACATACGATTTGTTTTGTATGTTCGCTTTAGGTTTTTTTTTTCTTTTTCGTTTTCTGGTTTCGTTTTTCCCTATTGCCATTCCTCTCAACGACAATTACACAGACAATTTAGTTGTGCGTGTATGTATTTTATGTTTCATTGATTTCATTGTACCTTCTTATTTTCATTCGTTCTCCTTCTCTCTAACCCATTTGCTTGACACCCAACTTTTGTTATAGTTAACGCTGTGGAACCGATAAATTGTAGCACAGAGGGTAAACAGAAAAACACATTCCAACAACTGGAACAACAAACTTAGAGAAGAAGTAGAAAGTTTTGCGATAATACAAACACTGAAGACCAGCATGCACAACTTTCCAATCGATTCAATATTGTTTCGTTTTATCAATTGGCCAATGAGACTTCATACTCTTCAAATATGTGTTTATTTCAATCAAACGAAAGTTTTATCCACAATGTGTCTCATCGATGCAGGCAAACAAACCATAACCGAATCGTCTGTCAATATTATTATTTTTTTGTGTATTCCACCAAACAATTAACTATTATTCAATCATCAAGAAGCAGCACGACTTTTCAAATCGAATAAAAAATAAGAACGATGATAATATGAGAGCATGCATTCGAAGTCAAGTTTTTTTTTTTTTTTCAAACAAAAAATAGAGCAATTGGATTATGAATGGCTTTGGGAAATTTTATCAAGTTTATTCACAGACAAAATTATACAATGCCCATAATTCGCTAACTAAGTTGAAGAATTTGTGATTCGTCTAAAATTCAAAATTCTTCACTCTCTCTCCGAATAATAGAATCAAGAGTCAAGATATTGTCATACTAAAGAGAGAATCATTTTGGTGCCAAATGGTGTGAACGGCCACAATATGTGGTTATGTGATTCAATTACTGGTAAATTCACTGAAAAATTCGTACATCTAAAGCATACTGTACCACATACACTACCATAGTGCTACGAACGATGAAACGACTACACGAGAGAAATAAGTCCGTTGTGATTTCTATTTTGAATTTTCCAATTTTATTTTCTGTCGTTGTCGTTTTTTTTCCTTCTCGTACCAACTTTGATGAGAGAATTTAGTTTTTTTTTTCTACTTCACCGCAAAATGTCGAACTAACTACAAAGTTTGAAATACGGCAAATTTAACTTGACTTTGTGAATTTTTGTGAATTCAATTTTCGGGAAAAAATCTCGATAAAAGAAAGTTTCTAAACGAAAATATTCTTTTTACTGCTGCTGCTCTCCGACTCGATTGATAAGAACTTGTTTTTGGCAACAAACAAACGTGATTTTCTATGTAATCAGACGTAAGCGAGTGGAAAAGCATAGCGCCACACTCACACAAACCAACAATGAAATCGAATCAATTTGGCTTTTGTTGGGTGATATGTGTATGGGGATCACAATTTCAAAGACTCACAGCTAGACGTTTTTTTTCCGTTTGAAACATCATTATATGTAACCACTATTGTTGATGTTTTGGCCCATTTCGGGATAAACTCTAATTGAATTCGGTTACTGGAAATGGCACTGAGTCATGCAATAAAGCAAAAAAATTCTTTGTTTGCATCAACGAAGCTTATCTGCGGCCCATTATTCCATCTTCCCAAGTGTTATTGAAGATTTTATCAATTTTTCAAAAAAAAAAAAACGCATTAAAATTGGTGAAACATTTCTGGTTTTCAATTCAGGAATTAAACAGTTTTGTGCCTGAATCGAATTCCCAGCCATTTCAAGGCACCATAAAATTCATCCATAAAATATTGCAAGCAAATGAGTTCAATGGAGAATTTGATGGAAAATGATAGCACATGATATGACAAGGAGTGTTCAATATGCTGAATGTGTGCGACACACTCATGTTTCTGCTCTGGTATGGTAGTAAATAAAAATGTCCTTAAAAAACAGTGGCTGCATCTTCGTTCAGCTTGAATGCGAATGATAATTTAGTTTGTTCAAGTCAAAGTGAAAATGATGACCTGTTCAAAATATTCACCGTTTATTTATTGCTTTCGATTTTAGTCTTGAGAGTACGGTCTTTTCTCGCATAATTAAGTTATATGGATTTCGTCTGGCAAAGCAAATATATATATATTTGATCGGAGCAATCAACAGAAGAGGCAATTCGAAAAAAATAATCAGAACGATGAGCGCACATTTGGATTTATTGATGCTCGATGAGTACTCAAAACGAGCATTTGTTAAAGGAAAATGCCAGTCACTTTAAATTCAGATGAAAATCGTCCAATTTTTTTCTCTCTCGACAATTATTAGAATGACGCTGATTTTGCGGTCTTCAAAAGACTTTTTTATGTTCGAATGACATCATTTCTACTTTTGCTTGCTCACCAAACGAATTGATTAGGTTTCGGTTTTTTGAAGAGGGAATACATACAGAAGTTCCAATTTCACGGCAATGTTTATTGCTTTCTAATTTCAAAGTCAAAATACTGAAAGACCAAAAAGATTTTTGTTATCGAAAAAACGAGTACATTTCGAGTAAATAAGGGATTTTGAATTCCAAAATGACGATAAACCAGAAAACATTCCTTAAGCTTTTCAATAAAAGTTGGAACGTTAGTACAAAAAAATCGATTCTTTTTAATTATTTGAAAGATCGAATAAGTTGCGATAAACAAGAGTTAAAGATTTTGAATTACCTTCGCCAAGTATGAGCAAAAATAGGATTCAAAATGATTTATTTTTATCATCATTTCATGACTCGATTGCTACCTCACCTGGATGAGCGAAAATAATTTCAAATTAAAGGAGATTTTTCATTTGATGCACACTTTTTTCATTGACTCCGAACATTTTCGCCGTTCTGTATCAATTTTACATGATTTTTTATTTTAATTCTAAAAATCACTGAATAAATAACATAATTTGCAATTTAAGTGATATTTTCGTGAAATGTATTGAATGAATCGGATTGAATTTGTTTGAAATCCGGCATCAGTGCCATCTGTTATTGTATGGCTGAACTTTTTGCCGTTGCTATAGCAAATATTAGTGAAAAGTACTAGATTTTGACGTTCTTTTCATGTGTTTGACACTAGGTCAATCTATATCATATGCTCAACTCATTCGAAAATGTAAACAGAGCAAATGACTAATTGGTTAAAAAAAGATCTGTCAAATAGTGCTAGCACTTATAAGGATTGAATAATTAATAATTGCGCTGTTTAGTGAAGCCTTTTTTTCTAAAGTTACGATAGCATTGTTGAACTAAATTCTTCTTTTGTGTCGCTATAAAGTGGATTCAATCACGTCGCACACATATTCATCAGTGGAATTGTGAAAAGAAGTTTGTAAATTGGTTATTCAAAATTCAGGTAGTTTTTTCAAACGTTTCTACGTTTAATAATCATAACACACATTATAAAATGTCCAATTATTATCAAATTAATAATTTATTGTAAAATTTTAGTGCATTAATATGATATCGAGTGACGCATATAGGAAATAGATTTGAAAAAATATAGTCAACTTATCAGCAATACGCAGCAAACACTAGAAATTGTTTGAGACCATAGCTTATCTTATCATTGGTGTGTTGATAGACGCTATGTTATTGGAAACATTGAACGGAAAGAGAAAATGAACATTAAATTACACGAATGTGTTAAATAGACAGTCAAGAGTGTTCAATATATATTTGCAAGTGTCAAAGTACTCTATTGGGAAATATTTTTGTTTGATTTTGAGAACAAAAAAAAGTCGAAAGGAAAAATATGGCGAACAAAACGAAATCTACGTCGTTGAGCGATATCGGAGCAATGTATAATCAAAAGGAATTTTACATTGGACTCGGATTAGCCATATCATCGTCGTTATTTATTGGATCAAGTTTTATCATTAAAAAGAAGGCGTTAATCCAATTGAATCGATCGGGTAGTTTGCGTGCAAGTGCCGGTGGTTTTGGTTACTTGAAACAATGGCTGTGGTGGGCTGGTTTAATCACAAGTAAGACGCAATTGCTGAATATTTGTTATCTTTGCCACTTATTTTCTTTTTCACATCAATCAATTTATTCTTTCCATTCTATTCATTCTATTTCCAGTGGGAGTCGGAGAAATGGCAAATTTTGCAGCATATGCATTTGCACCGGCATCACTCGTAACGCCATTGGGTGCGCTCAGTGTTTTAGTAACATCAGTGATGGCATCCAAATTTCTCAACGAAAGATTGAATCTGCTTGGAAAGCTGGGCTGTTTATTGTGCATCCTCGGTTCCATAATCATTGTGCTGCATTCACCGAAAGAGGTCGAAGTGGAAAATCTAAGTGAATTAATCGATAAATTAAAAGACGCATCGTTTATCATTTACGTAATAATCATAAGTGCCATATCACTTATAATTGCGTTTTACATCGGACCGCGAATGGGTCATTTGAATGTGGCCGTTTACGTTGTTCTTTGTTCGGCAATCGGAAGTCTCACGGTGATGTCATGCAAAGCACTCGGTCTAGCATTACGTGATACAATTTCAGGGGCTTCAAATGATTTTGGACTGTGGCTACCGTACGCTTTAATAATCACAACGATTTTCTTCATCTTCGTTCAAATGAACTATCTTAACAAAGCGTTAGACATCTTTAACACAAGCATTGTGACCCCAATTTATTATGTAATTTTTACAACGCTTGTTATTGTTGCATCAGCTATTTTATTCAAAGAATGGCGACACATGACTGTTGAAAATGTGATTGGCGATTTATGCGGTTTCTGCATTGTTATTATTGCTGTGATTCTTTTGAATGCCTTCCAAAATGCCGAAATTTCGATAAACGATTTACGACAAATGATGAGACCAAGACGAGATCCAATTAGCCAAAAGTCACCGATACATGAAGACGTTTTCATTCGACAATCACATCGAAATGGATATGGAACGCACAGCGATGATTCTGGAAACAATTTAGTTCGACAATTATGACAAAATTATGAAGAACTATGAATATGCTTATTTTTTTCAATTAATGAATCAATTTGCTTTGATTCGGAACAAATCACAAATGCATTATCATTTTTTTGTTAGGAACTTTCGAGTTTTTTTTCTTAATATGCGTATTTAATAAATTATACACAACTTTTTTCGACGTAGATCTAGACTTTTTTATGAGAATATTTTTTTTCGAAATATGTTTTTTTATATATATGTAGCGAACTTGAATTTTGACATAATAATAATAATAATTTGCATTCAAGTTTTATACTAATTAATTACCTAAAGCCAAATATGAAAAACAAAAACAAAAACTGCTTGATAGATGCCAGTTTACGTCAAATATTTCGTTGCTATTTTTTATTGATAAATATCGCGACGTTTTGAATTTAAATATAATTGCGTTGCAGTGTTAAAATGAAAATACACGAATTTATAGGAATCAATAACATTGTTATCAAGTTAAATGTTTATAATAAAATACTTAAACGAAAATAGAACGTATTTTCATTTCAATCCATGGATTGACTATAGACAAGAATATGGCATTTTCTCGATACACTACCTGTTGCAAAGCATATATCGTACTATCAAATCTAGTATCAAATGGAATGAAATAAATGAAGAAAATATTGAATATACATTTAATTGATAAATCATTATGAATGACATCAACCTTACATTCTTTGATTACTTTATCTTCTTTCTTGTAGCTCTGGCTAATGCTGTTCGACATCTAAATCAATGACGTGAAGATATCCGAAATAAATTTCATTTCTCTGGAGAATGGCAAGTGTCCGTACTTGCGGATGAAATGAATGCATTTCTTCTTCATAATCGACATATTCGGTTGATCATTTTTAAAATTGCGATTGACAAATTTGAAGCATGGGTCCAATCTCATTTTGTTGCTATCTGTGATGGTGCCGCACGGTTCACACAAATCGCATTTGCATTCAAAATTCCACTTCGATTTTAGTAAATGTTTGCGTTCGATTGCATTATGACAGTTTCCCGTTCCAAGATAGCTGATGAAAACCTGTTGTCCTTTCTTTATCGGCCGAACGGTTACACCAAATTTTCGGTTTTCAACGGAGTAATTATAGACGTTCGGGGCACACGAATGGTTGAACAGTGATAAAATGTTACCAATTGAAGCGGTAAGTTCACTTTCCGTTGCGTTCGTTACATTTATGGCCAGGTGGTGCAGCACTAAATGTGCCAAGAATCGTTGTTTACCCTCCGAATCAAATAGGTGCTCAATCAATGGAATGCACATAATGCTTTTGAATAGCCGATACACGTCGAAGATAACACTCTCGTTCAGTGGCAACTTCTGCAGTTTCAAGTACAAACGGTATTTTGATTGTATATCAGCAATTGACTCTGGTAGATCATCGTTGTCTTCACGGCTATTGTTAACACATGCCATCAAATCGTCAATATTTGAAAACGCCGATATTGCTATTAAAATCGTTTGAATGGTGAATTTCGCCTTGTGATGAAAGCGATGGTACAATGTATTACAATCGAATTTATGTACCAAATTCATGTTCATACAATTGACATTACAAAAAACAACATCACAACACGATGGGCAGGCGATGAAGTTTTCCATTTCACGTAAACAAGTGTAACATGTCATTTGTTCATCGGTTTTTGCGATCGCTGCAAAACTGTCTTCCATCAAAATCAATTGTCCCACATCGATATCACATTTCGCGATCAAATGACGTCCGAATTGTTTATTATTTGCAATGGCCAATGTGTCGGCGACGATGGATGGGAAATTTTTATCAGCTTTAAAAATCGGCAACGGTTCTGGTGTTTCCATTGGATTCGGTTTGAACAGTTTTCGGCAGTCGGATTTCAATTGTCCCAATGTTGCGGTTAGTTCAGAGGAGCATTTTGTCGCTACGGCAAGTTCAATATCAATTAATGCTCGATTGTACATTTTCATGCGAAAAAAACTCGATGCACGCTTTTCAAATGCCATTGACATAGTGACGGTGCCCGGTTCAGCGAAACATAACGCCTTCGTATACAGTTCCATTGCATGACAGAATTGTTTCTTTTGAAATTGTCGATTGCCTTTACGGAGCAGATCATTTGACTGTTGATTGTCCTTTGTCGATGTTTCATTGTGCGTTAATTTCAATGTTTGCAAATATTGATTCCACTTTTTCGCATCGATGGTATCAATCGCTTCGAAGAGATTCACAAAAAATGCATTGCTGTCATCACTTTCCTTACGCCACAAATTGTTCATGGTTTAATTGGAACAATTTTGTGATAATTTTGGTAAAATGTTTGCTAATGAATCGCGGTGAAAAATGTTTTTCCTTAGAGTGTGATATGTTTGCGCCAAATTGTTCTTGGAACTGTCAATCAATATAGGATTACAACAAAACTGTGTCTATTTTCATAATTTCACAATCGGCTAAACAAATCGAACTGCTGCGACAGCACATTCAATAAACAATTCGCATGTAAACGGAAATTGCCATAGTTTGCCGTCACATTCAGTAGATGGCACTAGCATCACACTTTTGTCGAGACTGTATTTGTCTAATGAATGACATATCAGAAAATCAGAGTTTGTTTACAGTTTTTTATTTGAGTCACATCGATGGTGTTATCACTTTTAACTATTGAAATGATTAAATTTTGAATTTATTTGCAAACGAGCACAATCAAATTGCAAAAATGTTAGAAAATATTATGTTAATTGCTTGCGGTTCATTCAATCCGCCGACACCAATGCATTTTCGTATGTTTGGTGAGTAGTGACGTCATTTGTTAGGTAAATTTCCGATTTCAATTTTTTCAAATATTCATTGGATATATTTCATCTAGTGTTTCATCTGTTTCAGAAATTGCTCGTGACTATTTTCATTGTACAAAACAAGCAAATGTGATTGGTGGAATTGTATCGCCCGTCCATGATAAAAGCCAAATGTTCAACTCATCCCATCCAGTCACCGATGTAAAATGATCGAATTATCGCTGATGTCTTCCGATTGGATTCGACTATCGAATTGGGAATGCAAACAAAACCATTGGACACCAACACTTCGAGTGCTTCAATATCATCAAGTATGTTTTGTGGCCAATGAACAATTTTTCCTCAATTTTTTTTTTTTTTGAAAAACTTACAAAAAATTGTCACATGAAAGACGTACATCGTTCCGAAAAATTAGTTTGAATTCGATTCATAAAAACTTCCATGCTATGATCGATGATTGGAAAGATAAATTGATATGTCTTTATCGCTTTCATTCCATCTTCAGTCCAATGTAATTAATCAGTTCGGTTTCAGAGAGAACATGCCAAAAAAAATGCCATCCATATCCAAGTTGTATCGATAGAGTTTCTTCTTTTTCATGGCATCTTAGGCGATTTTTGAGATATTGCAAAAGTAATCCGTCGTGTATTGATTGATATAAACTTGTGTTGACTCAACACCATCTGGCAAGGCCATGAAGTGCCCGGTCTTCAAATCCTTCATGTATCGATGACTCAGAACTTTCAATTTGTCTTGTTTTCTAACGAATCGAATTTGTATGATTTGGCGTGCATGTACAGGGCGTCAAACAATGAACTTAACGTCATCTGACGCCAATGTTTTGACAATTTCTGTGCACATTGCTAAACATATCGCTTCCAGTCTCGGAATGCCTTCGATTGCCAAATCACATGCAAATTGATTTTGAGTGTGCAATTTCAATTTCCCAGCACGTGTCGATATCAATGACGTTACTTGCTTCTTCATTTTTGTTCGATCGTCGGATCGGTCGATTTCATGCTCTGCCGTCCGTTCACTCAGAAGCTCTTCAATAAATCCCGCAAAGTGTTTTGACATATTTATGTTTCGAATTTGCTGAAAGAAGTTGCGACACGGACTATTTTTAATTTCGCATGGAATGATTGCATTACATTGGCATGAAATGAATAAATGTGTCTAAAGAGGAGAACAAAGGATCAATTGTTGTTCAACAAATGGGTTTGTTTACATTTTTACTAGTACTTGGAACCAAAATGCATCTTTTTGTAGGAATTCATTTTGAAAAATAAAATATAAAACGAAAAGTTCTGCTCTCTTCATATATTTATGTTCTTTTTTTGAGCTCCAGCATTGTTAAGTCATTTTACAATTTTTTTTAGATATTTTAAAAAGACATCTCATTTTTAAATCTATTTCATAACGTGTGTTTTGGGCGACATCTTGTGTAAAAAGACATACTCACAATATGTGTCATTCTATCATAATGTCAAATTCTACTGTCATAGTTGTTGTTGTCAATGCACATGGCACGCGGTTTGTTATTCTTCTCTGAAAACAAATCAAATTATACATTAAATTACTGTATATTAGAGAACATACGATACAATGGAAAACGAATCACAATTTAAACATTCAATTAAAGTTCCTATCCAATACAAAAAGGCAGCGAAAATTCTGAAAACTTCAATGGAAGGTCGTGCCTCAATAAAAGGACAAATATTTGCTGAAAAACATGCGGTAAATATACAAATTTTGGAAAATATATCTCCTCCATAAATTTTGTGAAGATAATGTAGAAATTTATTATAGAAAACAAACCGATTGTACGCGCTTATAACAAAAATTTCAAATAATAAAGATACAATCGACGAATTGTTGAAGCGCAGTAAGATTTTGGAACGAGAAAATCGTCTGGACAAATACTTGTGCTATGTTTTAGTTACGGAACTAATCTTTGGCGCTAAGAAATTAAATGGAGAATCAAAGCCAGTTTTATGTGTTGCAGCCTATGAAGATCAATTCAAGCAAATACTGGTCGAAATCGAAAGCGAAAAGACACCGGAAAGCAGCAGTAACAATTCTGCCAAACAAAATAGTGGTACGTTTTTTTTCTGCCTTTGGCTGTATTCAATTAAATCGTTAAAATTACCACGTTTCTTATCGATTTCATATTTTAGTAAAACCACGTTATGTTCGTGTAAATATAAATAAAATGACTCGAACCGAAGCATTGGATTCATTTGTAAATGATGGATGGATCGAAGTAAAATGCACAAATTACGATGAGTTTTTGAATTCAATCGCGAATTTAACAAACGAACAATTTATCTCGGATATACATGTCAACGATCTATTCATTTTCCCAGCAAGCAGTAAACGATACTGGGCATTGAGTAGTTTGGCAAAGGAAAGCAAAATCATTCTGCAAGACAAAGCAAGTTGTTTGCCATCATTTTTGTTAAGCCCACCGCGTGGATCCATCGTTTTAGATATGTGTGCGGCTCCCGGAATGAAGACTTCACATTTGGCTGCAATTATGAAAAATCGTGGAACAATTTGGGCCATTGAACGTGACCGCAAACGATTTGAGACATTAAACGAGTTTGTGCAGAAAACTAATTCAAAAATGGTGAAAACAGTCAACTCCGACATACTTTCAATAGGTTTGTAAAATAATTGTGGATTTTTTTAAAGAAAAAATAGTGTCTAAATTTAAGATTTATCACAAACAATATTGCAGATCCTTCTGAATATGAGAAAGTAGAGTACATTCTCTTGGATCCTCCATGTTCTGGCAGTGGTAAGCTCTTGAGCTAAGATTTCAGTCTAACATCATAAATCAATTGGATTGCTAATGTTTTCCAGGAATGACGAACCGATTAAACATCTTTGGAGGAGATTCAAACAGTGGTGATCCGAGCGACAGACTATTCCAATTAGCATCGCTACAATCGAAAATGCTGGTTTTTAGTTTGAAAAATTTTCCAAATGCTAAAAAATTGGTTTATTCCACATGTTCAATTAATGTTGAAGAAAATGAACTGGTAATTTACTAAAAAAAATTATGTTCAATGAAAATGAATAATCGTTTGGATTCAATTTTGTAGGTTATTCAACGTGCTCTTGAATTATGTCCGGATACAGATTGGAAACTCGTTAAACCATTGGAATTCGCTGAAAAATGGAAAAATTTCGGAAGTCCGAAGTTCAAACATATCGGAAAAAAGTGTTTGTATGCAAAACCAGACATCGATCGAACTGATGGATTTTTCGTAGCTATATTTGAGCGGCAACAACAGACCGAATAAATAATATTGTGTATTTATTATGAAATATGCTGTGGCAATAAATACTTTACTGTACTTTGTATCGAAAGTTGGTAATTTTGAGTTTGAATAAAACACCATTTTCACTTTGTTATACATTCAATGTATACATTTATTTTTATTATTCGATATTCCATGTTGGCAAATTTGATCAAAAAACTTAAAATATTTGTTCTTTACAAAACTTTAAAGAGGTTCGATCCGTCTCCTGAAGCTCGACTTACATTAATTTATACCGAAAAAATATATATTTCATTCATACATCTGTTGACTCATTTGAGGAAAATAAACATGTTTTAAAATAGAAAAATTAATTAATTCATAAATAAATTAAATAATGTATTCAAATGGAATGTTATACATAATCATTATTCTTGTGTCATTTGGCTGTCCAACTCTTCTACAAGCGCAAAAAAAATTATCATTGATTTTATTCTGTGGTAATTATGTGCCAATTAAACTGGACCTTTGAATAATTGCCACAAAATTACCGCACAAAAATCAATTGATAAATTCTTCTTGGCCATGTGAAAAGTTTATAATTTATCATAAATTAACATTATATACAGATCGCTATTGATGATTTCTTTTTTTATTCGGTAAGTGCTTTTAGAACGGTGGCAATCTTGTCTACTGATTCTCCGGTCAAGATAGTTCTGTGGTCACCTTTCACAGTTACAACATCAATTTTCGATGTAACGACCTATTAAAAGAGAGAGAGAGAGAGAGAGAGAGAGAGAAAAACAACATTTTAGAATTCCATTAATTTGCCATTCAAATGTGTATCAAAAAGTGCATATCTGTAAAATGGAAATGAAACTCACTTCTGATAGACCATAGTCAGCGGCCAACTTAACGTAGTTTTCGGTTGGTTTGAACAAAGTGACGTTGGAGTTGGTGAGTTTACGTTCTGGTTTGTAAAAGTGAGATGCCTTGAGTTTTTTGTAGAAAGTAATTGCGGCCAATTGAACGGTTTCAGATGGGCATTTAGTTTTTGGAGCAATGAGTTCAGCAAGACGTTTCAATTTCATATCGAGTGAAGCAAGAGTGTCTAATTCCATGGCAGTTTTTACATAGTCTAAGTTGGCAACAACCATTCCGAAGTAGGCCAAACCATATGATTCGTGTTGTGATTCAGTGGCTTTTTCTTTGCGTTGTTGATGGGCTTCTGTGTACCAGCTGACGTATTTTGGTGAACCGTCAAGCATAACAAGAGTGGCTTTTTCGCCGGCCTTCTCCAAAAGCGAGACCATTTCAAAGGCAACCGATGCACCGAACGAATAACCAATGATGACATATGGGCCAGTCTTTTGAACGGTCTTAATTTGTTTGATATAGAATGCAGCTAAATCGCTCAGTGAAGTCAATGGAGCTTCCTTTGTACATTGCAAACCATAAACTGGTACGGTTAATTTGGCGGCCAATGGTTTCAAAGCAGTGACAAAACCTTCAATAGCATGAACAGCAAACAATGGGCATGCTTTGCTACCAGCTGGTGCTTGACTCTCAAGTTTGACCAAAACTTCAGTTGGCATCAATTCATCGTTGAAAACGACTTGAGTTCCATCGCCAATAGCTGAGGTGTTTGTTGCTTGAGTGTTGCTTGTTTCTGTAGTGGTTGCAGTTGGTGCAGCTCCTCCAGCTCCCGATTCTGAATATGAAATGTTATCAAAAGAATTAGATTAGAAATCGATTTAATTTTTTTGTGTTTTTTTTTTTATTTCTTACCCAAAGCCTTAAGTTTTCCGAATGACAATTGACGAATTTCTGGCGCGCTCATCACGACATCGTAGGTACGTTCCAATGTTTGTTTAATTTCAGCACCCATCAATGAATCCATACCCAAATCGGCCAAAGATGCTTGATCTGGGACATTCTTCAAGTCTTTCAATCCTAAGATGTTGGCAACACAGCTGACCAAACTGACACCGCTGCTTTCGGCCTTACGTTTTTCAGCAACGACCATTGAAGAAAGCACAGGGTGTGGCTGTTGCATAAAAAGATCCATGGTTTGTAAACATGAAACCATACGTTGGGGCAATGTACCACCGACAACAGTATCGTTGTCACCCAAACTGTCAATAACTAAACCAGTATCACCGATGGCTCCCCATTGAATGGCTGTACCTGGCAAACCAGATGCTTGACGATTTTCACAGATACGTTCCATGGCCGAGTTGGCCAAACCGTAGTTAGTTTGACCGATATTACCACGACCGCACGACACTGACGAGAAGCACACAAAGTAGTCCAATACAGGGCACAAGTCACGTGAGGCAGCATCCAAATGTTTGGATCCATCAACTTTTGGTATACAAACAGTTTCGAAATCTTTTTCAGTTTGATTTTCCAAAACGTCATCACGCAATACAGCGGCAAGATTAAAAATACCACCGACTGGTCCCAATTTGTTGGCTGCATTGAATAAGCTTTGTGCACCCTGCATTGTTGTCACATCATTTGTATCAATTGATACTTGAACACCACGATCGTTCCAACGACGAACCATCAACGATTGATAACCAGTCTTAACACCGCTACGTGATGTCAATACCAATTTGGTGGCACCACGTGTAACCATCCAGTTGGCCAATTCCAAACCGAAACCACCCAAACCACCGACAATGATGTACGATTTATCGGTGTGCATGTATGTTCTTGGGATGGCTGGAATCAATTTCGATGCTGGTTTCATAGCCTGTTTTGATTCTTCATCACGAACCTTGACTACAACTTTACCAATGTGTTTACCGCTGGCCATGAAACGGAATGCTTGTTCCACTTGTTTATCATTGAATACGCTGGTTGGCAATGGACGAACGGCTCCATTCTTAATACCTTCAGCAACCAAACCGACAACGGTTTCAATTGTTTCATCATCACCTTCCATAACACTGTCCAATAAAATACCATGGAATGAGGTGTTCTTCAAGAACACAGACATTCCCAATGGTGCATTGTTGTTCAAATCGAGTTTTCCAATTTCCAAGAAACGACCGTTAAGACCCAAGCAACGAACTGAAGCTTGAAGTTTCTCTTCGGCAAGTGAATTCAAAACCAAATCAACACCCTTTCCTTTGGTGGCACGCATAACAAATTGTTCAAATGATGTGTCACGTGAGTTGCTGATGTTGGCGTCGGTTAATTGTGGGAAGGTCTTTTTCAAGAATTCACGTTTTTCTTTGCTACCAACTGTTGTGTAAACGGTGAGTCCATGATGTAAGGCAACACTGATTGCTGCTTGACCAACACCACCACTACCGGCATGTATCAAAATTGATTCACCCTTCTTCATTTTACCACGAACAACCAAAGCGTAGTAGACAGTCGAGTAAACACATGGAACAGTTGAAGCTTGTTCCATAGTCCAGTTGCTTGGAATTTCCCAAATCATGTTGCTTTGAGCGACACAAGTTGTAGCAAGTGATTTTGCTTGAACCATAGCCATAATACCTGTCATTTGAAAATGTTAATTTTCATTAGCCTTATGCGTTTTTTTTAATAAATAAAATGTTTGATTTGGCAGAAAGTAAAATTTACTACTTACGTTTTCCTTCTGAGTCACGTCCAGAGAATTCCAAACCCAAGATACAATCTTGTGTGGCCAAATCACCTGGCAATGCATCGGCAGCCAATTTTCCAGAGCTCAACATAACGTCACGGAAATTGATTGGTGCATAGTATACGGAGCACAATTCAACGCGTTTGTCCTTTGGATCAGGCAATTGACGGCTCAATGGGCTTTCAATCCATGACAAACTTGATAAATCTCCCTTCGTCAAGGCGTTCACGTAAGCATGTTCAACTGGCAAATTGGAAACTGCACCTTGTACATCCAATTTCATGTGTCTGAATGTTCCCCAACCGCCATTCTTGTACACATTGCTGATCAAATCCATGGTCAATTGTTCGGCATACATTTTGCTTGTGAATGAGAATTGTTCAGCATTTGCATCTTGTACGAATACCAAACGTGCAAATTTTCCACCGTTTTCATTTTTGATGCAGTTCATGAAACCAATGGCACCCAAAAGTTCTTCACCTTGACCAACAACGTATACATAGGTGTTGTCTTTCTCAGCATTGGCCATGGCGGTTTTCAATTTTTCAACGTATGAGTAATTCTTTTCGGTGATCATAACAATTGTCTTGTTTCGGCTGGCAAAATCAACAGCTTGACGCAACAAAATAAAGTATTTGTTGGTAGCACGTTGAATTGAAACAGTCACAAAGTTGAAACTGGCGAACAATTTGTTTGCGGCGGCTTCATCATAACCAACAACATTTTCTTCGAGCAAAACGAAACCATCTTCACGGATCGACGATTTAAGATTATCCATAATTACGTTGGCGTTTGGACGTGGAACAACGTCGTAAGCAACGATCATGTGACAGTTTGATTCGACTGGACCAGTGCTTGGATCTTTGGCAACAACACGAACGCCTGATTCTCCCACAGCTTGTACATAGGGTTCGGTTGGTTGATTTGTCACGATAGCAACATCACTAGCTAAGGTTGGTTCGCTTTCAATGATATTTTGAACGGTTTGTGCAAGAGCATTTTCGGCTGTTTTACTTTCAACAACATCAGCTACTTTAACTTTCAATGCACCGCCGCTGTTTTCAATGGCCAAATGGGTTGCAACGGAAACGGCATGCAAACGGGCATGTTCGCTGTCCTTTGCCAAATCCTGGTTGGCATTTTTCATTGGAACATATACATAACGTTCCAAAATTGGTGGTGATTGTGTGCCTGTACGACGTGGTGCCAATGAAGCCTTTAATCCGCGCAATTCAACTCCGCCCGATTTGATTACATTAATGTCTTTGTACATGTAAACTGGAACATCTGTTTTATTTGATTTGAGATTTTCAATCAATTCAAAGTGTTTGGTTGGATCGAAAACGGCACGTTCAATACGTGTTGGTAGGTATAATTCACGCAAATCTTTGCCCATAATACTAAATTGCAACATAGTATCGATGAAACTGATCCAATTGTCTTGCCATTGCAATTTACCGGTAACGGCTTTTGAATCGGATTCGCTAACACCACGGAATTTACCACTATAATCGTAACCACGAAGACGCAATTCCTTGTAGACATCGTTGAGGTTCAAAGTCAAACCAGACTTATCTTGTTCGAGTGGTTCCAATGGCAATTGTTCTAATTCAATATCTTCGGGTACATAGATTTTACCAGATACAGCCAATGAACCTCCTTCACAAATTTCAAAACGGTTGGTTCCATCAAAGAAGTTAACACCGAACTTGACTGAACCGTCCTTTGGCAAAATGGTAGCACGATGGAAAACAACATCTTCCAAAACGACTGGGGTCTTTTCGAATGTGCTGTTCTTTGTCTTGGCAAATGTACGCCATGCCAATGTCATGTAACCTGTAGCTGGGAACAAAACACGACCATCAATTGTGTGACCAGCCAAATATGCGTCTTCTTCTTTGGTGAGATTTACATCAACAACGGTTTCGCCGGAGGTTGCTAATAGAGAAAGAAGAGAAAAAGATAACAAAACAATTCGTTTAGTACAGTTTCTTCAGTTTTTGATTGCAGACTGTTCAATTTAAGTATTATTTCTAGGTTTGATAACTTACAATCCATTCCGAATTTTGGAACCATAAAGCGTTGTGAGTGATCCCATCCAACTTTTGAGTTCAACATAGGTGTACCACGACCAACTGGGTATGAAAGAGGAGCATACAATTTGGAGACTTGTGGTTGAGCACCAGCGGCGTACAATCTGAAGTAAATAAATAAAAAATAGTTTTCATTTAGTTAAAACATGTTTTCTCAAAGATTTTGTAGATAATAATAAAATTGTTTAGAATTAACTCACTTTCCAACATTTTGCAAGAAGAAAGATAGATTGTTGTCGTGACCACGTTTGATCAAGCTCAAATTAACGGCTTCACCGCCCAAAGATCTCTTCAAAATGGCTTGCAATAAACCAGTTGGGGCAATTTCGATGCAAATGGCATTCTTTGGAATATGTTGAATGGCTTCGTGAAACAAAACTGGTGACAACAAATTGTTTACGTGATAAGCCGGTGAGCTTTGTTGAGCGATTGGTGTATTCCAGTTGTCTTCTGGAATGCTTGTACTGAGCCAACGTGAGGTACGCGGTTTTGGATTTGGAATGATACGTTCCAATGATTTACGCAATTTTGGTCCAGCATCAGCAATGTATTTGCTGTGGAAGGCATAGCCCGATGATTTGACAGCCTTTGCAAATACACCTTCTTTGGTAAGCTGTTCAACAAAACTGGTGATTGATTCTGGTGGCCCTGAAATGGTGACACTGTCATTGCTGTTGTGACAGGCGGCAATAATATCGGCTGGAGCACGAGCCTTAGAATATACAACGAAACAAACAAAATCAATTGAAAAAAAAAATGTCTCCATATATTGAATGTGTTTTTTAGCTTTGCACAATTGAAAATAAGAACATATTAATTACCTTTGTGTCTTCCCATGATAAACCAATAGCAGCCATCATACCCTGTTTCAAGTCTGATTCCAAGATGCTGCGTCCTCTCCAGTATGCAGCCAAAACAGTTTGTTCTGGTGTAAAGCAGCCATCGGCATAGGCACAACCCAATTCACCGACCGAATGTCCGACGATTCCATTTGGAGTAATTCCCAAATGTGTTAAAACATCGGTGAGTGCAACTTGAACGGCGGCAATTGAAACGAATGAATTCAAAATGTGATCGAATGTTGATTCGTCGCTTTCGGTAAGAATTTTAACCAAGTCAACGCCTTCTGGACGCAAAGCGTCAGCACAACGATTAATGCTGTTGCGGAACACTTCCAAATGCATTAAATCTTTGGCCATGCTAGCCCATTGTGATCCCATGCCAGAGTAAATGTACCAGACTGGGCGTTTGTCATCGACCAATTCGCTAACTTCGCGAACGGTTGTCATGTCACCGACAACAGCATAACCACGTGCATAATGCAATGGAATGTTCTTTGAGTGGATTTCGTTAACCAAACCCAAGAATTCTTCGTCGGTTTTGTTTTTGTCGACTTCATCCAAAAGTAATTCAATAGCTTCGCTGTTACGACCTGACATTACAGCCAAACGTGGAATGGTGTCACTTGGTGTAGTTGATTTTGGTTTGGGATTGGATCTCATGATGACGTGGGCGTTGGCGCCACCGAAACCGAATGAATTCAAACCGATGATGCCGCCATTCCATGGTGTGTTACGGTCAATGACCTTGAGACGGCCATCAAGAATACCGTACAAATCTGGATTTGGTGATTTGTAGTGCAAGTTTCCTGGAATAATACCAGCTTCCATAGCCAAAAGAACTTTGGCAATTGAGCATACACCAGATGCTGGCTCTGAATGTCCCATATTTGATTTTACTGAACCGATGAGCAATGGTGTTTTACGATCTTTGCAGAAGAAATCAGTGATTGAGTTAACTTCTTGTGGATCACCGACCTTGGTACCAGTACCGTGAGCTTCAACATACACAACATCATGTGGATGCAATCCAATTTCGTTGTAGGTTTCACGAATCAAACGATTTTGCATGTCACCAATTGGGAATGTGATACCTTGCTCTTTGAAACCATCAGTATTTGTACGAACATTCAAAACTGATGCATAAACACGACGTGCTTGGCTTTGCTTTTGCAAAAAGATAACTACAACACCGTCCGATCGTACATAACCAGCTCCACTTTCGTCGAATGCCTTGCACTTTCCTTCAGCGCTTAACATGCTCAAACGTTTGAATTGCAATGACATAGTGGGTTTCAAAATGATACCAGCTCCAGCCACAATAGCCGAATCACAATGGCCCGCTTTCAAATCGGAGAAAGCCTGTGACAATGCATACAATGAACTTGAGCAAGCAGTATCACATGCATAACTTGGTCCCTTGAAGTCAAAGGTGAATGACAAACGGTTGGCAAACATAGCCCGAGCGCAACCAGTCAAACCGTATCCATTGACACGATCTGGATCTGTAGATAGAAGAAAAAATATTTCGAAAAGGTAAGTAAAAAAACGTTGACTTTTTTTTGGTAAAAATAAAAATAGTTTTATCACAAAATTCAATATCAAATCTTAAAATTTAAATATGAAATGAAAAAAGACCAACAAGAAGATAAGAGATTTTGTTTTTTCAATTCACTAACCTGCACACCAATATTGTTCAACTTCTGAGTTTGATGCACCAACGTATACACCAGTTCGGCTGCCACGCAATTCTTGTGGATTGAAACCAGCATCGATGATTGCTTCGTGTGTGGCTTCAAGCAAAATTCTCATTTGTGGATCCATACATTCGGCTTGTTTTTGATGTACGCTGAAAAATTGCTGATCGAATTTTTCCAAATCTTCTTCCTTAATTTTACCAATTCTGGTTGGTAAATCGTATAAACCTTTTGGCCAACGTCTTGGTTCATCGTTGACCATATCAACGCCATTGAATAAATTATCCTTAAATTCTTCGATAGTTGAACTTTCTGGCAATCGTCCAGACATACCGGAAATAACAACTTCATCAGGCAATTTTTTATAGTTATGTTGACCGGATCCCAGGTCCAAGGGAGTACCGGTGCGGTTGTTTTCAGTTGTTACATCATCAAAACGAGCAGGCATTTTGTTTGTGGTATGTTTTTTTCACACTATTACGAAGTTATATCGATTTCTGAAATGAGAATAAAAAAAAGACGATTATTTATTTTGATAAAGAAAATTACAACGATATGTTGTTTGTTATTTAAAATTATTCGCGGCGATATCAAATCAAAACAAATTTCGAACTGTCCAAAATATCATGTTCCAGATGTTATACGCGTGGCGTCATACTTCGATATACCAATTAGAAGAAATGAATAAAATGAGCCTGTAAATTATATGTTTAGTACGTTTGATGAATTTAATAGCAAAAAAATGCTTGATGGTCAAGGAGAGGGAAAATCTGTTCGATGTATTTATTATTATTGAAACCATACAATTTGATTAACAAACTAATTACATTTCACATATACATATTCATGGCTAAATGGGAAATTGCGTCTATTGTCTCTTAAACGGAAATACATTTATTTCTTGATTAAATTATACGAATGTATAACAACATTTTCAGCTATTTAAAGATTCGATCATACGCACTAAATTCCACGTCAATAAAATATATACGTGTATACTTTCAGAATAAAAAAAAATCAAGTGATGATAAGACCTACAGCATTTCAACGGCTTTTACATTCGAATTTAATCAATTAATTTTCTATAGTGTTATGTAATATCGTGCGGAATATTTTGATTCCATGGTTTGTGCTCGTGTTCAGTTGCAGCTGTAATCAGATCCGTAATGAGTGGCGTGATATAGATTAAAAATTCAGATTTTTTTATTACCAAATATAAAATCTATTGTGTGATATTTCTAAAGTGACTGGAAAGCGAAATTTATCAATGAACACAATGAATTCTCTGGGAACTACATGTTATTGGGTGTGATAAAATCAAGTGTGCATTTCTATTGGCAAAAAAAAACTCATCACAAAATACGATATCAATCTTTTTTTTCTTGAAAAATTTAAACAATTGTATCAGAATTGTGTAAATTGAATAAAGTAATAATAATATGACTTGCATAAAACCTTACAACGCACAACAAAACCATAAGAACTATTCTATAGGAAATGAAATAGAAAAATTATTATTTTGCACATGATTTGCGTATGTTTGAATGTTTTTGGTGTTGTTTCAATCCTAAGGTGATATTAAATGCTCGTTTTTGCACGCCATAAACATCGTACGTTTTAAATGATTCATAGAAATAACACGCGATAATGAGAACGTCATACCAGTATTGTACAATAATGAATGAATGAGCGAACACATAGTGGTCAAGTTCAGGTTGAATGAGAAGCGGTAATTGTATAATCGTATCCCAACGAGTACGTTTAACCGTCATGAAAGCGATAATTTTAGATCAGGTTTCTGCGCACAAACATTGCTGCGTATTGCTTTCAATTATTATGTAAAAAGTGCAAGATAATGCCAAAGACAAATGATTAGAAAACAAAATGTTAACGAACAAGTGTTGTTGTCATAATCAAGCCACACATGCGTGTAAAAGATAAGGAGAATATGTTTTTTCTTAATCACAAGTCATGCTTTGCCTTTGAATCAACTTTGCGTTCACCCTTTCACCTCAAGTATGTTCTATATGTCCTTGATCATTGAATCTGACATTTGCGCGTCTTCTAGAACTTTTATGGAAAATTTAATGCCAAGAATTTTCAAATCTTCTACAATTTTGAATATGAATTCTGCATTTTTCCTTTTAAGTATTGGGTGATGGAAAAGGATTCAAACTGATTTGTTTTGACTCTTATTCATTTATATTTCTCGATATTCCAAAATTTGTTTCGGTCATGAAATGTAAAACAATCGATATTTTCGAGGAATTTATATTTACATTCACGAAATATTTCCTCACACTACTGACGTGTGGTTTTTGACATTTTGAAAGGAACAAAAAAAAAAAAATAAATGAATGCTCTAAAATGGTGTTGGTTGACATCGGTGGCCAAGCAAACCTATGTGTCTATTAGTTTCTCTTCGTTCTTGATCACATTTAATCTATTTTATTATCAAGTGTAATAGGTTTCACTTGTGCAAGTTTAACGAACAAAAAGCAACCTATTCTGCTTTCCATTAAAGTTAAAGTTTGAAAGTGACGGAACGAATAAACACAATCTCTGTTTGATTTAACGATAAACACGCGCACCGAGTTTTAGAAATAAAAATGTTGCAATGATGATGGTTTACTCAAAGTTGTTTAAAAAAAATCACAAAATGTTCATAAAAGAAAAGTACACTCTCAAAAAAAATTCGAATCGGAACAAAAATCTCAATTTCATGAGAAAAAAGTCACAAAAATCAGGTAATTCGAAGAAAAATAAATGGTGCTGTTCAGCAAAAACAACACAAGAAAAAATAATGCACAAAATAAAAATCGAAATTTCTCAAAATAACCACAAACTAGATGAAACTCGAACCAAAAATTAAAAAAAAAGATAATCACTCACAATTCAATAGTAATTTGCTTGTCAGTCGAATTTAACTAATTCGTATTCAAAAGCCGGTGTGTGTTTATTTATTAAATTCGTTGTTTTTTAGTTATTTGGTTCATGCGATCCAACCGGAGTTTTCGACCGAACTGAATGGATTGTACTGGATGCACAGTATTTTACTTTACCCTGCTTCGCTGAGTTGATATTAAAATCGAACGATATCTGCTGATCGTCCGTCTGTGCGAATGTATTTGTTCGTATGAAGTGCGAATCTACGAATTGACATTGACTAAAAGAGCGAAACGTGTACGCAGTGTGTGTTACATTTGTATGGGTGACGTTGGTCTTACAAGTGATGCTCGAAATTTAATACGAGAATTACAGCTACACAAATATACACCATTGTTCGTTCATTCGGTCGTTTGTTTTTACTTTCGGTCTCATCGTCCTATTCATCGTATAGCGTACTTTATTTGGATGATTTGTTGGTTTGCGTATTAGAACGAGAGCATGAAATTCGCATGGGCAAGCAGTTTTTGTCGTACACATTTTGTTTTTTGTACGTTCAAATAATCTCCATACAGTTCGTTACCTAGTGATAATCATGTATGTGCCCGCTAAGCAAAACCATTTTATTATTCCGTATTCGCACACATACAGAGAGGCTTGACTTTATTTTGTCATCTTTTTTATCTCCCTTTTTCTACATTGAATGTTCGATTAGTCTTTTCCTGCTTACATTTAGCATAACTTAGTCTGTAGTGTGTATCAATAATTTTTGTGTGCAACTCAAATACCGAACCATATGGAAGAGAAGAAGATGAAATGTTCACAAGCACAATGCACAAGAAAGATAACTCACATTTTGTCCGAACAAATATTTTGTTGTCAAATGCTTGCATTTGTGCCCATTTTTTTTGTTTCATTTTCAATATCACGTATTGGCATGGAACAAATACATGGCATCGCCATTCCATATAATACTGATATGATAAAGAATTTGGGGCAACCTTTTTAGATGATTTGACACTAAACTGACATTTAATTTGGTTTAATAAACCATGTTTAAAACACTATGTGTCTACAATTTTTTTTTGGATAAGCTCCTCAAGACTTCTTACCAATACGTTTTTGCGGCAAAATGGTGAAACAATTTATTTGAACTCTTTGTAAACGAAGAGAGAAAATTAAATCATGACATAATAGTACAGATATGAAGTTCAAGGTCGTCCGTTGTTTAACTGCTAAAATAGTTGAACTAAATTCATATTTAAATCACACTATAATCAGTCAAAATATTTGTTTTTAAACCAGATAATCGAACAGATTTCTAAAAATGATTTTGCTGAGAAAAACTAGCTTGTGTGTTTATGTCAAAACCTATAAAAGAAAAATCGGCGAGTCGATAAAGTTTTTCAGTTCTAGCGCGCGCATCGAATAGTGTTATCCATATTTTCCATATGAATGGAGCACATACGTTAGTGTGATATACATAGTAGTATTGTTTATGTTTATACCTGTATCGCTATCGCTCAGCTGAGAGCTCTTTCCCACTCAAATCGACTTATACCGAAAAAAATTTTTTTGCACAACAAAATTGTTTACATTCGTCATATATCCAATTTAGATATTTATACACCACACGTGAACCACGCAAAATGCGGTGACTTTGCAAAGTTCAATTTTCAGTGTTTATTTTGTTTTCGCAAAATATTTTAAAAATATAATTTATAACGATTTTTTTTTATATATTTGAGTCGCCAGTAGTAAAATTTCATATTTTACTTTTTTACTGTGTTAGATTGATCCAAAGATCATGACATACAAAGTATTTAATTGTTTTCTTGCGTACAATAAACGTCAAGTTTACATATACATATACCAGTGTTAATTTCAATATCGTATAGATATCTATTGAGCGTGCGGCAAATATTATTGATGTTGTTGCTTAGCCGTGATAACGGTATTAACGCGAGAATGTATTAAATTTTCAAAGGATCGAGTACTATCTGTCAAAATATTTCCCCCTATGCCAAGCGAAATTAATTCGATATACGGCGCTGATGTAAATGTCACTCTGTCATTTCACAATAATACTTTTTTGGCTTGACAATATATAAGCTCTTCATTTAAAATGCATACACATTCATAATTATTGAATCGTTGAAAAAAAAAACATGTCATAAAATATTTTTCTAACATTTTTCATTAAAAAATTTATTAAAATTTTTTTTTTATAAAAAAATTAATTTGTTTATAAATTACAATAATTTCAACAAAAAATGTTTCATCGATTAAATAAGAATCCAATGTAAATAGTAATGACAATGCGACACCTACCGTAAAAATGCAAAAAGAAACTTAGTTGGTCTCCATTGTAGCATTTTGGTCCGCCATGACAGCATCTTCGTTTTACTTGACCAATCACAGAGAAGCAAAACGAAGATGCTGTTATGGCGGACCAAAATGTTACAATTCCAAATAAGTTTCCTCTTCCATTTTTACGGTAGGTGTCGCATTGGTATTACTTCTTACATTAGATTCTTGTTCAATCTATGAAAAAAAAAATTGAAACTATTGTTATTTTTAAACAAATAAATTTAAAAAATAGAGAATTTTTATGAAAAACGTAAGGAGAATATTTTATGATATGTTTCTTTTTTTTACTCGACCGTTCAAAAATTATGCATGTTGAATGAAGAGCTTATATATTGTCAAGCCAAAAAATGTATCATTGTGGAATGACATAGAGTGACATTCACATCAGCGCCGTATATCGGATTTATTTCGCTTAGCAGAGGGGGAAACGTCGTACTCGCTCCTTTTAATCGTTAAGAAGAAAATATTTTAGGAGTTCTTTCCTGTAAAATGAAAAAAAATGTACCTATTAAATTTGTAATTCTCATTTCATTTCTTCATTCAATCAGTCTTTGTATTCTTTAAAAAAACTCTACTCAGCTATTGGCTGCGCAGTACTTATCGCAAAACTAAAAACACACGCACACTCACACTTTGTTTATTATTTTTTCTTATTAATAATAAATTTGTCTATTCGTTAGATCAATTGTTTCCATTAAAATTTATCAAAAAGCCTTATTCACGCATAAAATAGGCAAACGTACGATTCAACCTACGTCATTAGCGATAAACATATTGAAACAAAAGATATTGTTATTCACCAAAAACTTTTAATCATAGATTGAATTTGCTATTTTTAATGCGGTTTGTAAAGATGAATAAAAATGTACCAGACATTTGTGGTTTTGTCCATCCACTATGGAAAATTACCTACAATCGCAGTGCGTCAAACATTTCTTTTTTCAAGTTTAAATGAAGAATTGTTCAAGTGTAAAATGTACTTTCAATAAATTGTACATTTAATTGCTTGATGATATTAATCTGTTGATTTTACTTGTTTCTCTCCATAGAATCGTTTTCTGATCGTTCAATTTTTCCAGGTGTTGGAAATGAGTATGTTAAACGATCTAATAACATCTTAATGACAATCATTACCCTTCGGGTGCAATTTGTTGAAAGAAATTGTCTTGCCTCGTAATATGCATTAAACGGTAATTTAAAACTTATGCATTTGTGCATCCAAAGAGTACTTATAGCACATCAATGAAAATGTGACAATAAAATTGGCAATATTCTAATGTGATGCTATTTGAATAGTTTATATGTAATCAAGTAAATAGAGTTGGTTAGTGCCAATAATTTGTTCATTGCGTGCATTAAATCGTTAAAAAAATAGCGTTTGATCAATGAAATTTACATGAAAAAAAAAATTGCTCAAACTTTGATCAATTATTTCGTCATACAGAGAAGGAAGAGTCTCGATGCTACTATTATCACTGTAACGATAATCGCCCGTAAACCGCGTCGTTCGACAGGAGAAAACAAGGTTCGAATAAAAACTAAAACGCAGTGGAAAAATTGCTTATCACAATCAGAAAGAGCATGCACTTGACATACACTTTAAGTTCATTTCAATGTTAAAAACCCAAATGTCAGAACCGTTGGAGAACGCATGCCAACTGAATTCGATTTTTTAATGATGCAAAATGACGCGATCGAATGAACAAATATATAAAGAGAAATTGAAAAACGACATTTTTTTTGAAGAAAACACTTTCTTCTGATGTGCCTTGATATTTTTCATAAATATTAAATTATCTTGTCTACGCACCGTTTCAACACAACAGACGCGACTGTATTTCTCTCGAGAGTATTTTTTGCAGGGGTTTCACGAACAAGTCCCTAATTTTGATAATTTCAATAGAAAATCTCGCCTATTTAGCGCGTGCTTTGCAAATGATAGATACGTAATCAGCAAAATTAAAGTGTTTGATTCCATCGCAAATATACGGAACTTTTTTCATAGCTATATTCGAATGCTTGAATCAATTTTTATTATAATAATTGTTGTTATTGATATTGTTTGACAGTTTTTTTTTGTGTTTTTGTTTTGATCAGCTGAAAAATTGATACAAACACAATGGGCTAGTGTTTTTATTTTTGAACGGAATATACTGTTATGCCAACATTAATCACGTGTTTAATTTCAGAATCGCATCAGTCTATCAGAATACGTTATAAATGGAGTTTGCCACTTAACGCATTGATTGACCCTCTCGTCTTTATTAGGAAATTTCTTTATTCAAACACAACGATTACGTTTTTGTTATTCGTCATTTATAATCGCTGATTGAGCTCAACATAATACAACACACGTTCTGCATCTTATTATGCAAAGTGATTTACCGTTTCACATCATTGTCAATCTGAAAATTGATAGCAAAAATCATTGAAAAAATAAAATAAAATTGATACACTTTCTACGATTTGATTTCGATGATTGCATAAAAAAATGTACTTTGAAATTCAAAGTTTGAATATGTGATGGTTTCCAAGTGACGGAAAAACTGATGTCATCGACTAAATTACCAAGTATGAGATACAGTGCCGTTGACCCTTATCACATCAATATAGCCTTGCTTGAATGATCTTTTTTTTTCGTTTGAAAGAATTATTTATTTAATTAAAAAAAAATCAAAGACAATTAAATTAGCCAAATTCTTACTCCAATCTGAATTTGGATGCATTCATCTGGCTATGATTTTATAATAGTGGATCATTGCCTGGGGGACGAAAACCATTGAAATTGGATGAATGAGTGAACTACCGCATTTAGAAGAGGTTGATTTACTTTTGAGTTTTGTAAAATGTTAAACTCCCTGCCACGTTCGAAAGTCTTGAAGAATTAAACGTTCAAGCCAATGATGAGGCTGCGGCTGAGTAGATTAAAAAGCATGGTCGGCTTACCAATCTGCGTATAATTTGCAGCTACAAAGATGAACAATTGATTGAATTGAGTCATTGCCGGTCGGTCAAAAGTGTATTGCGTTTTCTAGCTTCATGCAAAAGGCTGAACAGTTTACACGTAGTACTGAATGTTGATTGCAAAGGTGAAAGAAATTGGTTCTCAAAAGCGTCCACAATGTTCAAAATTCAAAAACAATTTGGCGATGAAATGTTCATCATTGAAAAGATTTCGTCCAATAATTGATTTCAACGAATCAGTCAACGAAATGTATTCTCTAATTATATTTTTATCTAGATTTTTATAACTTGATATTAAAAAAAAAAACAATAAAAAATAATCTTTGCATGTAAAAATCCAGGCCACTGAATTCAAATCAAATAAAATTTTACTACTGTGAAGAGCAATAATTGTGGACTTTTAATAGTAAATAAAATAGTTTTTTAGGAAATTGCTAGGATAACTTTTCTCGAACTTTGAGACAGAATCAATATGACCTTAGTTGGTAATCAACTGGTTGCATACATGTGAATCTGTCCATTCACTTTTCAAATGATACAAACATTGGGCGTAATTTCAAGATTAATTTTTTATTAATTTATTCATTTATTACTACTCTCATCTATGTGGTTGTAAGTCTTACCTAGAAGACAGCCTTTGTCAAGCATACAAATTATTGAAATGAATTAAATTGAAACATACACACAAACAAATATTCGAGTACGGAAACAAATATTCAAGAGTCTACCCTTCAAAATGAGTTACGCACTCTATTTTACTCTATTTTTTGTGTTAATTTCATCCAAGTGAACGAAGAGATACATGTGTAGTCATATGTACGGTTTGTACTCGAATATTTGTTTCTGTGTACAAAAAAAAAATAACAGAAAAAAGCAGTACATTCAAATAATAAACAAAGTCAGTTGTACAAAAGTAGAAACCACTTTCATTTCTTGAATTATTGAACTTGATTACAAAAAATAAATTCTTTTCTACAATATAAAAATGTATTCAACTATTTAATTTTGAGAATGACTTTGCCGCGTAAATGTCCATTAGCTACACGCTGATAGGCATCACTAGTTGCATCAAAGTCGTAAACACTATCTACAATAGGTGCAATTTTATTTCGTTCAACTTGTTTTGATAAATATTCGATGCCTTGTGGTGCCGCTACAAAATATGCCCATTTTGATAATCCTCTGTATTTTGAAATACTTTGAATATTACTCTCAAGCAAATGTACAATATTTTTGAAGAATCCCATCCCTATTCCATTCGAATCTATGCTTCGAAGCATTGGAGACGAAAATGTGATGTATTGATCAAATTTCCAAGGTACTTTTGTGGCATATTCAGTTCCTATAAATAAAATGAATGTTAGCAAAGTGAATAATATTAATTATTGTATAGATTACCAAGTCCAGCACAGTCGAGAATTAAATCAAACGACAAATCTCGAAACTGTTCAATCACATCATCTGATGTGTAGTCAATCACGTGGTCGGCGCCCAAATTCCGTACCATTTGAATGGAATCAGTGCTGCATGTGGCCGTTATTTTCAAATTTTCCGCTTTGGCAATTTGTGTTGCAATCGAACCAACACCTCCAGATGCGCCCAAAATACATATGCGTTTACCCTGGCCACCACCTATGGGTGAATAAAAGAATGCGTGTTTATAAGATGAATAATATTATGATTTTTAAAAGATTTCTTACCTTGCGAAGTCAATGCACCCAACACTCCGCCAATATGGCCCGATATATACAGACCGGACCATGCAGTAAGACCTATAAATAAAATAAATGTTAGCAAAGTGAATAATTTTAATTATTGTATAGATTAAGACCAGCGTAGAGCACCCCTGCAGCTTCGATATCGTCTATCGTTTCGGGTTTGTGTGCTATCTGTAAAATATGAATAATTCCCCATTATATTGATTACATTTGCATATTTGTATATAGAAAAATCAATTGGCCACGTTTCTTACACAACTTTCATCGACAACCACATATTCAGCATGGCACCCAGAACGATGCGGTGGAACGCATCCATAAACTTTGTCTCCTATTTGAATATCTTCTCGTACATTCATCCCTTTTCTGGTGATAACACCACAAAAATCTCTGCCCAATGTCAACGGAAATTCAATGCTGGTGTTATTACACCGTAGCACATTTAATAGAGTTGAACCATATCCACCTGTTGATCAAAAAACTATTTCCATTATATGTTGTTCATTGTAAAAATAAATCGTATGTGTTTACCCATCATTGCAACATCGATCGGATTGACCGACGCAGTATGCACTTCAACACATACTTCGTTTGGTGATGTTATTGTTGGTATTTTTATATTGTTGCTACATTGAAGAATCTCAACACCGCCGTATTCATGAATTTGCCATCCACGCATTTTTCCACTTTGATCATCCGATCCTTCTTGTGAGGAATTCAATGGGCCACTTGTAAAATCCTTCGGTGTTTTTGTTGATAACAAACGCATTGGAAGAAAGCGTTCAAACAGCCGATTTTGACGCAATAATTTCACTGATTTCAAAGACATTTTTCATAAACTCAATGAAACGATCCGGATTTATACTCAACAAAAAGAATCACCAATTTTGGTTGGAAATTATGTTAAAATTGGAGTAAATCTCGATTCAATTGTCATGTCAAAATAGAAACATTTTAAACAAGCTGTGAAAATTATTTATTTCTGAACTAAATTGTCAAAAAATATTACAGTGTGTTTGACAGATGATTATAGAAATGTCATTCGAAGGAGAGATGGAATGAAAAACTCACATACATAACCTAAACAAAGAACAAGCGTTGAATTCATATTTTTTGTGCTGATTTTTTTTTGCGATTGTGAATACGGATACTAAATATGTCGAATTCACATTTATTTTTAAAATCGGGATTTCCGCGAGCCACACTTCAAAATGGTTTGGGTCGTTACGTTTGCCAATTACAGCGAATCACAATAAAATACTGTAAAACAAGCGGCTGCAGCAAAGGTGTCAGGTATGTCGAACAGTGCTTAGATTTGTGGCAAGAAATTCCACCGAAATGTTCATGGATTTTGCCATTTTTATTGTTGAAATATGAATTTGTCTTTGTACGTTCCACAGAAATTTCTTGGAAAATCAACTGTTGGATTTCTCCACTAAAAATCCCGGTGTAGTTGTGTACGTGAAGCCCCGTCGTCATCGACAACCGGTCATTGTTGCCGAATATTTGAATGGTGACCGTCATTGGATGTGTGTTCGTAGTTTCACTGAAGAGCAATTAACAAAATGGATTGGATTGATGCGAACACAAAATGCAAATACAAGTGCTGTACGAATGCGAAAACATTGGCACACCGATTGGCCATCAATTCAAGGTGCTTGGACACCATTTACACATCAACATCCCGAATTGACAAATGCCACATTTCCAAATTCAAAATATTCGAAACCATTGGATGTGGGACAATCGGCAACGGACAAACTATTGGAATTATTTGAGAGACAAAAAATCGACGATAAAGAAACGCCAAAAATTACCCAACAATAGATTTTTTTTTTAAAGGGTTTAGTTTGATAGAATTGATTATAGCAATTGAATAAAAAAATTTAATAAAATTTAAAAAAAAATAAACATTCATTTCTATTTTTTCATATTTTTTTTTTGCATTTTTGCTTTTCTTGGAATTGGAAGAAAAACAACAATTTTCAACCATAGATTGAGGTTATGTTCGTTTTAATAGATCAATAAATGAGACATTGAACTAAAAATGTTGCACTATGAACTGTCAACAACTTTCTTATGGAAGATTTAGTACGCATCAACTGCAATAATTTGATAACAAAACTCTTCTTACAATTGCACATTTCGATGCAATCGTTTTAATTCCAAATAATTCTGAATGAAAGAGAGTATGATTACATTACATTTTCGATTTACATTAAATAAATGAATTTTAGTGCATCCATCAAAAAAAAAAATCGATATAGTATAATACAATCATCTCTTGAACAAATCGGTTAAAAAATGAACAAATCTAAAATAATTGAAATTGAGAATTTTCCTGACTTTACTCATCAATAAATACAAGTTTTATAACAAAAGAGAAGTTTATGAAATGAGATAGCCATTAGTAAACATTTTTCAAACCGCTTTCAAATAATTTTGGAGTTATTTCCAAAAATGCATATTTTTAGTATTTTTCACAGAAAATTACAATTTTTCATACATTAAAAAATAGTACAATTCAGAAATGGACTGTTTTAACAGTCAGCGGTTACATTTTTTCTACAATATTTTCTCGATGTAACTTATAAGCGGGTGCAATATATAAGACGTGAAAATTGAACATACACTTGGATGTGTTTACCCATGATCGGAGGTCTATACATTTGAAGAGCGTACGTGTATGCGTGCGTATATGTTTATGTGTACTAAATAGAGAATCAAAACGAAACATGTCACACACCGACGCACGCATACCATGAGGATAAAATGAGCAGAGCGACGATTGATTCAATTCGGTATGTACTAAACACACATCGAGTACTACAGTTTACGTGATGTTGATGTAGTAATACTAGTAATACGCAGAAACATCAAATGAAAACAACGAAAAAGTTTCCCCGAAAAAAAAAAATACAATAAGGTTCTAAGTGGCAAAATTTACACAGCAAAGAGTAAAAAAAAAGTGCAACGTGAATATCATTGAATCAAAAGTTTTCATTTTTATTTGAATAATTGTTGGCTATTGAATTTTTGTCTGAGAATAATATTTATTTGGGGTTTTGTGCAATAAGCAAATGGGATCCTGTGTCTGAGTGTCTCGCCGTCGTCGTCGTTGTTGTCGTCGTTGAAAATGCGAACATATATGCAATTATTTTGTTAAAATGAGATGCAAAAAGGCAACAACAACATAAAATCTGTGGGAAATTAAGAAGTTGTGATGCAAAAAACTAGATAGATGCATACAATAGAATACAGTCATCAAACAGCATCACCAGCAGCAGCAGTAACAACAACAACAACAAATCAAAAATCCAAATACAGAAAATAAGAAGAAGAAGAGGAACAAATAATAAAGACAAAAGTTTATTACACGAATAGAGACGGTGCAGTGTAAAAGAAATAAATAAAAATAGGAATGAGAAAGTCCTGTACATTCGAAACGAATGTGAAATATGGAGAAAATCGCGTTCATTAAAATCAATGCATGAAGAGAGAGAGAAAGAGAAACAAAATGTTTATCGTGCAAAGTTTACATTTTTTTTGAGTACTTATCTTCTCTATCGCGATTGGGTTTTTTGACGTTGTTAGCTTGAAAGAAAAGAAAGAGGGCAAAAAACAGCAGCAGCAGTAGTAGAAACAGCAACAACAGCAGCATCGAAATTTTAGTGTGTGCTCGTGTTTGTACATATGTTGTTGTTGTTGCCGTTGTCGTCGTCGTCGTCGAGTTATGTGTTGCTCACGCTCATTTTTACCATGTTTAAATCAATATATTAGAGATTTGTGTATATAATCGCTAAGTATGCGAATTACATGTTTTCAAGTGTCACTTTTCTATTGTTTGATGCTGTCTTCTCAATCGGCTGCCAGTTCGTTTGTGTTTTTTTCCTTTGAATAAATTTGTGTTATTTGTTATTTTTTTGCTCACCATTGTCGCCGTCATCGTCTTCTTCTTCTTCTAATATAGTAAAAGTGTTGCTGAACGTAATTCGTCATTTTTTGTTCGTTTTGATGACCAATCAGATATATTGGAAAATATTCGTCAACATTTTTTTCGATTGCTCATCGTGTGTGTGTGTATACAATTCTGATACGTAAAACGAAATTGTCGGGGTTGTTAAAATGAATTTTGTTATTGTTACGATTTGTGTCGCGCATTTTATTCTTTTGTGACATTTTTTTTCGTGTGCAATATTTTTACGTCACTGAAAAAACTACATTGTGAACATAAATAAACATTTTTGAATGAAAACAAGTAAAACAAAATTGTGCTGTACTTTCTACAAGGGATCATCACAGAACTGTATCGAGAACAAAAGAAAAAAAAATAGGGCTTATTGCCTAAATACAAAATCAATCGCAATGTTCGCTGAAACGAAGTGAATTCTCAACGTGTGCATATTTTTTTTCTCACTTGGTTTGCCATGTGAGCACGACGAAAATCACATTTCTGAAGCAATTTTTAATATTTAATTATTCATTGCAAGCAATAAGTAACAAATTTCGGATATTCAAGTATATATATACACACACAAACCAAAATCAAAAATTATTACGCACTAATTGGATGATGCTTTTCGTTCATTGCTCGATGAACATTTGATTGATTATGACCGAAGCCAACGAATATGATTTTGAAAAAGTCGATGATTCGCTAAAATGTTTGAAGGGAGTTTTGGTTGATTCACTGCGAACGGTAATTTTTTTCTATTTGTGTTTCAAATTATGGTAGCTGATCTCTGGTTTATGGTTTAAACATGTAGGTCCTACATCAGGTGCATCCAAATCTATCAGCCGAAGATGATGCACTATCCCGAGTCGAATGCTTGTGCATTCGACTGTTGGGTATGTTATGTGCCAAACCACCACCGCACACGATACAGGTAAAAAAAAAATAGTCTCTCACATCACTTTCAATTACTTTCAAATATCTGAAGCATGAAAAAAGCAAAATGCAACTGTGTCAATTTCCTTTCCCTTTGTTTAAAGGACATCGAGGATCGTGTCGCCAGAACGTTACCAACACCCATCGATAAATGGGCTCTCACAGAAGCACGAGACACCATCGATAAATCAAAGAAAAAGAAACTAGTATTGCCATTTAATCAAATTCAAAATCTACTTCAAAAGGTAATAAACAAATCATAACACTCATAATACTCAAATTCGATGGAATGTTTTTTGATATAGCAAAATGTTTATCAGTTCGAAAAGAGTAGGACTACGAATACATTGAAACTTGTTTTGATAATAGCTTCAACAGAGCTATCTTTGGAATTTGTCAATGATATCAATATCTTTTAGTTCGTTGAATAGAATTTTTTCCAAATTTCGGTTCGAAGAAGAGAACAGATCAAATTCCAAATGTGTGTGTCATAGGAAACACAACATTGGTATTTATACATACAAAAAAATCGTTGTTATGACATGACACAGTGAATAGGAACTAAATATTGAGCGAGGATTTTTAGTTATAATGTTTTGTTTTTCTATTTCAGGAGGTTCTTCAATACAAATTGGATAACACGGTGTCATTATTTTTGGTGGCTGTATTGGAATACATTGCCGCAGACATATTAAATTTGGCTGGAAAATTTGTGCTGAACATCAGACATCAGACAATATCTCAAGAGGATATACGGATTGCTTTGATCGCCGACAGAGTAAGTGTTGTTATTTGTAAATTATCGAATAGATCCAAAATTACGAACACCTGCCTAATCAACCGGTTAATCCAAATTGATTTCGATTGACAACAAACAATTCAATTGAGCAGATGAGATCATATGTTTTAAAATGTACAGGAAATGATAGCTAGTTTAGTTTTGCTTTTTAAAAAAATACCGATAAATTAAATATTAAATTTTAGTGCCAAATATTACAGCTTAACGTTCAGGACACTTTTCATGCATAAACAGAACAATTACAGTTTTATTAATAGTTCAATCAAAAACGTTCCATTAACTTTCGACGTTCATTACTACTACATATAATCATAAGTTTTCATGTTTTCTGCTCTTAATTTTCATTCGTCAAAATTATAGCTTAATTCGTTCGAATCACATTCAATTCAACATTACTGCAAATTTAATTTTATGTTTTTTCATGCTCTCTCTTTCTCGTACTCACACATACACACACAAAAATAACACATAAACACAAAAAGATAAAAAATTCCAAATCAAATTATCCTCACGAAATAAAGGAAGTGGTATGTAGTTTAATAAACAACTTTTTTTTTCCTTTCTTTTTTCATCTGGTAAATTTGATTCAAAAATTGCAACCAAGCTCTTTCTTTCGATACCCATTTTTTTTTTCTATCTCTCTTTTTTCTCTATTTATATGGAATTTTAGTTTCACATTCGTGTAAAAATACCAATCTAAGAAAAAAAAATATCAATCAGTCTTATTTTGTCGAAAAAATTGTACACAAAAACTATAATTCTCGTTTAATCAAATTATTAGCATTTGGCTATATTTTTTCTCGTTTGTGTGAACAAAATAAAAATAGAAATGTTACTATCAATTGTGACAGATCAAAGAGTTCAGTTTGCCATTGGATTGATTAGAATTTGTTTATTAAATTTACGCATGCATGCCCTCCTTTCCATATTTCGTCCAACACTCATTTACTATTATCGCACCAAAAACCATGAAATGAAATGGTAAAAATTGGATCATTCGATGTTAATTAAAAAAAAATCATCGTCACAATAAATGAGTAAATTGCATTCTAGCTGTTGATCCGATTTTTTATTCAGTAATTAAAAAAATTATAATTATTTTCTATCATCTTGCATGCAATTGCTCACAATCGCAATTTCATCACATTAATATACTTTTCTTTTTTTTTCATTCGGTGAACATTTTAATGAGTATATTTTAATCGCAATGAATATATTCAGATCTCTATGTGACTTAAAGCAATCGTTTTTTCTCGGATGTTTGAATTTTTGAAAAGAATATAGATCTTCTAATGTAGAATGCAATGGGAGACACGGTTTCTTCCAGGATGTTTTCAATCCAAATTAATTTGTAGTCACATAAATTTCTGAATCTATTAGATATTCAGATTATCACATCAATACACAAACGAATTGCCTATATACACACATACACCTGAACCATTCAATTTCTATTGTACAAAGGACTTTGAAGTGATCCCAAAGTAAAATCCCTTACTTTTTTCACTATATATCTCTAAATGTTGCACACATAAATACATTTTTTGTCGTAGTTTCTGATCCAAGCCGTTTGTTTATTTATCGATTCCAAGTATTTTGAATTTAATTAATTGAAATGATCCAAACAAAAAAAAAATATCCCTAAATTCATTGGATATACACATATGTAATTTAAATTTATTTCAAATCGAATATCTAAATGTTAAATGGTTGCTTTCAATGCAATTTCCTTAGCATTGTTTTGCGTAAATTTTGTATTCATACATTTGAATTTTGATCTTAGGTGCTGATGGATATGTTTTGTGAAAAGAAAAACATTCCAACAATTCCATTGCCAACAACACCACGGTCCAGCCTCACATATGAGGATGTTGTGAAAGAACTTATACAAGATGTTAAGCAACATCAACGCGATTTACACATGATCATTTGGGTATTTCGCGAAGAGTTGGCGAAGTGTGTGCGAGAGCCCAGGGAATTGGATTTAATTTTTCCGCACATTTTCGATATATACGATGTCACTGTAACGCTATTGGGAGCTTTGGAAGATGTTATCGAAATGTCACAAGAGCACTCACAACCATGTGTTGGCAGTTGTTTTGAAGGTATGTGTTCAATTTTCCGTTTGTCATGCAAAAAATTGTTTAGACTAAAAGTCTTTCTATTTTTTGTTCCTCATTTATCTAGAACTCGCTGAAGCAGCCGAATTTGATATTTACGAAAAATATGCCGAAGACATTACATCGGAAGAGTGTAAAGATGCTCTACAAAATTTGGTGAATCAACAGGATTCGAGTAAATTGTCATCGGCTGGTCATGGATTTAAAGAGGCAGTGAAATATTATTTACCAAAATTACTATTAGCACCCATATGGCATGCATTCAGTTACTTTGAGTATGTACGGTCATTAATGGATTTAAGTCCGAGCCAAGAGGATAAGGAAGTGTTTGAGCAGGTACAAGGTTTGCTTAGTCCACTTGAGACACGTGTGAAAGAGCACGTTGCAAAAATTCCAAAGGATTCATCATTGCCATATACGCACTTGAATAGTCGTGCACGTCGTCAACTGTCGGTTGAAAAAACACGTGAATTGCTGAACAGTGTTGAGCATTTTGGCGATAAAGATGCCATTGGTCAAAGCTACAACGAATACATTCGAGAGGATACACTACAAAAATTGAGTTCGGGCAAACGAATAACAGAACGCAAAGTATATCTATTCGATGGTGTATTGATTTTGTGCAAACAAATTCGTGGACGTTCCGTGAATCCAAATTCAAATGCATTTGATTATCGACAAAAGGAGCGTTTTGTAATGCGCAGAGTTGAAATTATTGATCGTTGCGATACCGATGATTTGAGGTTCGCTTTTGAAATTTCACCGCAACAAAATCAGTCCATTGTATTGGTAGCCAAATCGATTGAGCATAAAAATGGTTGGATGGCAGATTTGGTGATGGTAAATACCAAATCAATGCTTGATCGTATTCTTGATAGCATTTTATTGGATATTGAAAAGAAACATCCATTGAAATTGCCTAGTCCTGATGTGTATAAATTCGCTGTTCCTGATAGTTCTGATAATATAATATTGGAAGACAAAGAAAGTACCGGAGTGCCACTGATCAAAGGTGCAACACTCTGTAAATTAGTTGAACGTTTAACGTATCACATTTACGCCGATCCAGCATTTGTGCGCATATTTTTGACGACATATCGTTCGTTTTGCACACCGCAAAATTTACTTCAACTTTTAATCGAACGATATGATATACCCGAGCCAAATGTAGTTTACGAACAATCGAATGCCGATAAAGATCTCGAGACTGATAAAATACACAAAAGTTCACAACGTGAAGACTGGAAACGATATAGAAAGGAATACGTTCAACCCGTACAAATACGTGTATTTAATGTGTTACGACATTGGGTCGATCATCATTTCTATGATTTTGAACGTGATCCACAGTTGCTTGAACAGTTGCTTATTTTTCTGGAAACTGTTAATGGAAAATCGATGCGAAAATGGGTGGAGTCTGTACTGAAAATTGTACAACGAAAAAAAGAGCAAGCCGAAAATCCAAAGCAAATCACATTTGCCTATGGTAATATTCCGCCGACAATCGAACATCATTTAGAGTCAACCGAATATGGAATAAATCTGTTGACATTACATCCATTGGAATTGGCGCGTCAGTTAACAATACTGGAATTTGAACTGTACAAAACAGTTAAGCCATCCGAACTTGTTGGATCGGTTTGGACAAAACGTGATAAGGAAACAACTAGTCCAAATCTACTACGAATGATAAAACATACCACAAATGTAAGAAAAAAAAAACAATCTATATCACTTTTGACCGGAGCATTCATGTTTTCATTTCTTCTTTCTCTACAGTTTACCAATTGGATAGCAAAATCAATACTCGACGCAGAAAATATTGAAGAGCGGACCGCAATGTTGAATAGAGCAATTGAAGTCATGATGGTTTTATGTGAATTAAATAATTTCAATGGAGTTTTATCTGTGGTGGCTGCAATGGACAGTGCAGCCATTTATCGCTTGAAATTAACATTCCAAAGATTGTCAGATCGTTATCGAAACTTTTTGGAGGAATGTCGTGAATTGAGCAGAGATCACTTACGTCGTTACCAGGAGAAATTGCGATCGATCAATCCACCATGTGTCCCATTTTTCGGCATGTATCTAACAAATATTTTGCATATTGAAGAAGGTAATCGGGATGAGTTGCCAAACACTGAACTAATCAACTTTTCGAAGCGTCGAAAAGTCGCGGAAATCACAGGGGAAATTCAACAGTATCAAAATCAACCATATTGTTTGAATGTCGATCCGAAAATTAGAGTAAGTTAATTGTTCATTGTTTCCGTTCGATCTGATCATTGATCATATGATTATTTTGATTGAATTTATATTGTTTTGCAGAATTTTCTTGAGAATTTGGATCCATTCAAAGGAATGAGTGAGACGGCCATTTTAGATTCACTGTTCGCTCAAAGTGAAAAATTAGAACCAAAACATGCAAAAGCAGCGCCAAAATTTGTAAGTATCCTTTCAAAAAACGATTCAATTTTTATGCGATTCAAATATTCGACGAACTAATTAATATGATGTTTGTTTGTAGGCCAAAAAATGGCCGCCAGCGATATTAAAATCGCCTGGTACAAAACCAAAACGACATGCACATCAAACAAGTTCGATATCAACGCCCGGCACTCTTCCATTTAGCAATAAAACTGAACTGCACACAAACAGCACAACCAGTAAGAATAATAGTCAAAACAATAGCATGAGCTATAATACAAGCGAAGGTGAACAATCACCAACGGGTCATAATACATCGATGTCTTCCGCACATGACTTTGCAGTCTTTGCCAATGTCAATATACAGGGAAATTCTGCATCATCGTTTTCACAATCACAGGTAACATTGAATACAATGTCAACGTCAATAAACGATTTTGCCGATACAATATCGTTGAATTCGTCAATGTTACCGCCTGAGTTGCCGAAACGATCAAACAGTATTACTTCATTGCCAAACAATATGAATTGTACGGATGTTAGGCCAATATTGAGTCCACGAAATTTGGACAATGTCACGCCAGCACTACGATCTCAACCAATAATCAGCCCAAAACTACTTGATTCGGTGAATGAAGAACGAACACCACCACATTCGGCAAACAATTTTACAAATAATAACAATAGCAATGGTGAACCACCATTGATTAGTCCACGAATGGATAAATTAAGTTACCAACAGCATCAAAATGCAGCGGGCGATGCGAGTGCTTCAAATTTCAATCGATCTCCATTCCAAAATACGTCACATCATCGAATTTCTACATCAAATGTTCGAAATAGCAGTTATGGTGGTTCGGTGTACGAAGACGGCGCCTCAACAAGTGCATCTGTCTATCCAGCCAGCCCAAAACACACAAATATTACATCCGATATGCATGAATTTGGCCCAATGCCAATTTCACCCCATGTTAACGTACCAAATGCTCATAACTTTTGTGCGATGCCACCGCCGCCATTGCCACCAAGACGACGTGAAAAACAAGAATCGGAAGCAGTACGATTGGCACAAATTCGACAAGCACCCGATGCACCGGAATTACCGCCACGAGATGCGTCACCGCCACCTGTTCCACCACGATTAAGTTTAACGCACACATCAATCAAGAAATCAAACACTTGTAACATATACAACGAAGAAGGCCTACGAGAGCATAGCCTAAAATTGCCAAACACCAGCACAATTATGATGCGCCGAAATTCAGCACTAAGAGAAGGAGCATCAAATGATCCGAATGCATCATGCGGATCGGCAGGCACACCATCCACAAGCACATTACCAGCTACCAAATCATTGGATTTTCCTGACATTAACTTGGCCAACAATAAATTTCATCATCAGAATATTACATCGGCACCTCCAGTCAATCGAAAATCGAGGTATTTAAATCTCAATAGTCTTTTATAAAAACTTTTCTAATTTGAGTTTTTTTCTTCTTAAATTATTCATGTTCAGTGCGAATACGTCGCCTAGTTTTTCACCCGGCGAAACAACACCCAAACTTCCACCAAAACCGAAAAACTCAGTGTTTTCACCACATAATGGTCAGTTGAAATTCATTAGCTTTGACAAATGAATTTATACAACAAAATTATTAATCTTTCGAATTATGCATTTTTCATTTGAATAGATCGCACAACGATGTTTCCATATCCTACTACAAATCATGAACAATGAAATGAAATGACGTTTGCTGCTGCTGGCTGGAATGAAATTCATACACAAATGTTGTATGGCGATTGCAAATTTTACATTAATTCTTCGAAAGTCCCAAATTAGTTTTTATGAGTCAGACGTACTTTTTATCATTCGGACGAACTATGTTTGAAAATTAATCATATTGTATGGAATGGTCGAAAAAAATCATGATTTCCATTTTCATTGTTTTATACGACATTTTTTTTTTGTCAAAAAATTGTGTTTATATTTGAGATAAGAATCTCTAAAGTTCACAAAGTATTTTTGCAACATTGTTTTAATTTACAAATTGATGAAATTTTGTACATAAAATGTTTTGTTTCGTTTTTATCTCTGTGACAACTCAATATTAAAGTCAAAATGATAGACTCATTTTACCATACCGTTTTGATATTATGTGTGATACCTGACTCATTCAATTGCAAATTCCCCAAAACACATTTTACCAACAAGAAAATTCTGTATTTTATGTATTATCAACGTGTAGTGTGTGTAAAATAATTGAGAAAAGGATCTAGATTTAAATGACGAAACAGAAAACAAGAATATATAAATATATTTTACACGAAATCACATGCACACAAACACACTCAACCAAATGTTTTAACAAGAACAAAAACACAAAAAACATCCTCGTTCGATACGCACAAATAAAGAAGCAAAATAAAATGAATTACAATATTCTCATGAAATCATTCATATCATCAATAATTACATAGAGAAACTAAAAATATATGATTGTTTAAGTTTTAGTGATTTGTAAAATGCATTTAATGTGAATGATGTGATGTGATGTAACTAGATGCTTAAGCGAGAGTGTTAGCATTTCATTCCGATGAAAGAAAATAAAATTTCCAAATTTCGGTTTATTTCTTTTTTCTTTCTTCATGAATTCATATTCCAATTTCATTGTCCAATTAGAATGTTATGTGTGCAACCGCCAAAATTATGTTTTTTATGATAAATACATCATGAAAATGTTGAAAATAAAAAGAAGAAACTATCTATGAAAGACAAAAGACAAAATAATAACACAAATTCTCCAAAAAAGCAATGTCAAAAACGGAACATATATATTGATTGGAAAAAGATCATATACATTATATTTACAATTTTTGTTTATTTTTTTTTTTTTTTCATATAGATTTTGTAATGCAAAATGAGATAACATTCATGGCAAAATATGCTAGAAAAATCATTAATGTACCGCTATATTTTTCTCTAAAATAACAATTAAAGAAGATTTGAAAAAATAGTGAAATATTTGATAATAACTTTCTTTTTGCAACTAATGGATAACCAAGACGGTCCAAAAAAAAACTAATATGGAATCTAATCTTTTTTAGTAAAGTAAACATTGTTAAAACATACAATAAACGTTGTTATTAACTGTTTCATCATTACAAGAAGAGAAAGAAGAAAAAGAAGAAGAAAAATCCCACTAAATTTAAATTGTTGTTGTGAAAATGCGTATAATAGACAAAGTTTCCGGTTTCAATGATGAAATAGAAAAGTTCAAAAGTTACTCGTGAAGAGAAACAAACAAGAAAAAAACTAAGCACATACACATGTTTTATGTGGGGTTGTAATAAAAATAAATAAATAGCTCATAGGAAACTTTGTATTTTTTTAAGATGTGTAACAATCTTTTTTGGTTTATATTTGATGTCTATGTGAAAAATATTTTCATTTTACACTAAGATGGAAAGATTGGTCTTATTTTTGCTATAATGAATACGAAGCTGTTATTTAAGCAAATGAAAATATCATAAGTGTAAATATGATGAATTTATTTCCCAATTTCGTTCAAAAACCATCAAATTTATTTACATACAACACTATCTACTATTCTATTTAAAAGAAAAAGAAAAAGAGAAAGAGAAAAGAAAACGCTACAAGCAAAGCTTTCATTGATACTTATAATTCGATTTTGGTTCAGCGGTGAATCTTTTTTCACTCCATTCCCTTATATTATTGTATTTTGTAACTTTGTTCCAGTAGTATTGTTTCCGATTTCTAATTCTCATATCTCGGTTTCATTCGAATCACACAAGTAGGAAATTGACATAAACAAATGTAAATACATATTTTTAGTGAAAGAGGACGTAAAGGTGAAATCCATACGAGTCCAGAATTGAAAACATGAAATATTGAACGATTGGAATATTTGTAGGTTTTTTTTTTTTATTTTAAATTCAAGTCAATACACTACAGGAACACTCACAAATAATTAACATACAAAAAATGTTTGAATCGCAATCATTAAAAAAGACAATTTTCATAATATCGCAAAAAATCGCGCATATTTTTACAAAATCAGCCAAGAAAACACTAACCATTCGCTAAGATTATGGTTAAATTGCAACATATATGTCATAGAATAAGGTGTATTTTGTTGTTTTTGATTTGATTACTATCAATTATGAGAAGAAAAAAATTTATTGAAGATTATGAGATACAAATTCAAGCGCATTGAAAGATACACTATTTTAAAGCGAATAGAATACATATATTGAAATGCATAAATAAATTAGAAAACGTTAATGAAGTCATGCAAATTTTGATCTGAATTTTAGATTAGATTATTACTATTATACCAGAGTTAAATATATTTAATGAAAACAACAACAAATAAAATGAAAAACAAAATGCGTATGTTTATTTTCCCTCGTATAGCTACTACCCAATTGGAGTAGTTGCAACTAGATCAACGATGACTTTGTTTTCTGTCGGTATTCCATCAAAGATGACACCTGAACGCATTTATATAGCGGTGGGTTTGTGTATACTCAACTCATTCTTTGTAGAATGATCTCCTGGCATTGTGATACAGGACTTAAGTTATAGAGCCATTAATATAGGCATCTAGTCAAATCTCCGCAAAAAATATAACCTTTCAAAACATCCAGAAATCCTGCAAACATTGTTTTGGCGAGAGACAATCAAACAATGATAATGGGCTGAATGTTCTGCTTGTGGTCGAATTAGGACTTGGAATGCTCACATAAATATTTCATCGTATTTTAAAACTTTGATTGATATTTGAAAGTTGTACGACGTAAGTTGCAGAAAAAAACAGTAAATCGAGAAATTTTAGATGATTTTATTTTCTTACAGCAACTGTAGTTAAAAGAGAGGAGTTCATTGGATAGTGCTTTAAAACATCAGAGTAGAAGTAAGTGATCACTCAGGTATAAATGACGCAATAAACTTGAGCAAATTGGACTGGTAATGAAACTCATTCAAAACGGAATTCAATGCAATGCTACAACCAGATCAGTACAATTAATGTAAGAAACATTTTACTTTTTATTTTAATGTCTTTTTTTATAAAATATTGAGATTTTTATTAGAAAAAAAAATAATTAAAAAGAAGAAACTTATTAACGCGAATATCATTATGTTAATAATATATTATCAATTTTCCAAAAATATCGTAAAAAAGTTACCTTTTATCCATCAACCAAAAAGTGAAGTATTTTTACTATGAAATACCCAAGAAGTTTTTATACATGAATTCAGTGTGGAATTTCCAGGAACATTTAAAAAAAAAAATTAGTTCGAAAGGTATTTATATGAAGACTAATAAGCCAATTCCACCTACTACAAGTCAAGATTGAATGACATACAAATGAGTGGAGACACTGAGAAGCCAGTGAGAGTGCTCTCTAAGAACTCAAAACCTTCGAGAGTTTGAAAAAATATTGAAAATTGTCGATTTGGCAGAGGGGCATGTGAATTGAAAACGAAGGGCAATCGCACTTTGAATACTG